ATGACCGAGGAGTTAGAACGCCCGTACTTTGCTTGTGTATAGCTCTTGCCTCAGAAACGATTCACTGCTTCGCACCAGGCCAATCACGGCAGTCCACAGCACAGCCGCATCGTGAACCAATCAGCGAGTGATTCGGCCGAGCCCGACATCATCTTAGCACAGCCACGGGGCGCGGCAGGTCCGTGTGCTACGCCCGCCCAACGCTCTCTTGCGACCCAGGCCATCACCCCACCGGCTCTTGCTCTGTATTTCCACTCACACGACTGACCACTGCCCTCGCCTATACAAGCACCTTCCACCAGTTTGTAGGACCGCAAACATTTCTCAAGCGAGACAAGCACCCACCCAACCTTCACCGTCCTCCACCATCACCGCCCACGGCAGCCCTATCCTCGCCTATAGAGACGTCTCAGCCTCACCCTATCCGGAACCGAACCGAAGGAATGTTACAGGAAAGCATGACGTTCAAGTCGGAGTCGACGTCTGGCACCACGTCCAGTAAGGCGAGTAGCCTGTTCGACCTGGACCAGAACTGCGTCAAGTCTATCCTCGTGTACAAATATCGCTCAGGCGCAAAGGGCCTAGAGGTCAAGACTGAGCGTGATCTCTGCACGGAACTCGACCAAGGTACGTTCTCTGTAATCTGTTGGTGTGACTTCAACTAAAGGCAGCGTCCAGATCCGTCATTACCCTTCATACGCGTCACAAAGAAGCCTATACCTCGCGGCAACAGTCGGCTTGACATCCTCAACGAAGACCTACTCGCCCCCTCGGAACGCGAAAAGTACGCAGAGAAGCCTACGCTCAAGGCTTCCGTCGCAAATGTGGGACTGCCCACGCTCGCCAAGTGGAAACACATGATATTGGGCAGCTACGACGATCTCTATATCGTCTCGCGCTCGCATACCTTGTCGCCTGAGGCGAGCAAAAACAACAGTCCAGAGTCCAGTCAGCACGTCAACTCGTTTCCTAGAGAAGCGGTGCACAGTGACGAGGCCTAAGTGCGCCGCAGGACTGAGCTGGATGCCGTTGGAACAGGCGGTGGGGCGATAGATGTCTTGCATCTCTTGCGTCGACAGTGACGCTCAGCCTTCACACGAATGCACGCTCGCTACACGACTATACGTTTTCTCCCTATCATTACGCGATACCCAACGAGCTCGGCGCTGAACGGAGTTACATTGTTTTGGTTTCCTTTGGTCCTTTGTTTTCTGTCGTTGTAGAATAGCAACGAGTGTGTTGCACATCTCCGAGTTGGAGGTGTGTAGCTCTTAATAAGACAACCATGATCTTTAGCTGCTATCTTAATGTACATGGAACTGAACAGTGAAGTTTCAAGCCACCCCTATGTAATGAGTGCTTTTCAGCGCCGAGGAATGAACCGCTGCAAGGGTAGGTTGTCGAGAAACCAACGTCATCACACGTTTGATTCGCTTCTGGCGCATATGCCTGTCAAAGTTCGCAGGAGCGACCTGACCCAACAGGGAAGCGGCGTAAAGCTTTTCTCTCCGTGTTGCAGCGAAGGAACACACTGGCTGCATTGTTTGTATACACGTGGGTGGCATCGGACCTTCTAAATGGCTGGGCGCAACGGCAGACCCATCTACGGCTCGTCCAGACGGCACTAGCACACGAAGGCCCACCAGGCCTGCACATGCAAGCGGGGAGCTTCACTCTTGGGCCCGGTCTCAGCGCGCTGGGGCCCTGCATCGACTTCTGAAGCTTCCGCCGCGAGCCCATATTGCTATCACTCCCATTCAATCGCGCAGTTGAACGCCTTTGAGTCTGCAATTGCCCGCAGCTCGCCCAGCATGAGGTTCGTAATCCCAGCAATGCACCCGCGCATGCGCCCCCCAATCGTCGCACGGCGGGTGATGTCAACGGAAACTAATGCGCGTATCCAGGTTCGGTCAGCAACTCAAGCAGTCGCTCAACAAGGAGTGGATCTTCTACTACATCGACTACGAGGGCCTTAAGAATTCTCTACGCGTCCACCACATCTGGGATGAGAAGTCGGAGCAGAGCTTCGTCGAGCAGCTCGAGAAGGAGCTCGACAAGGTCTACACGTTCCAGCGCGTCAAGGCCGAGGAGATAATCCGTCGCATAGCAGCGTCCGAGAAGGAGGTCAACGATGCCGTCGCGCGCGCCCAGCAGGACCCCCAGAACGCCGCCAACTACGAGGACGACTTCGATCTGCTTGAGGAGGACCTGAGCGACATCATCGCCGACGTCCACGACCTCGCCAAATTCACGCAGCTCAACTACACGGGCTTCCAGAAGATCATCAAGAAGCACGACGTACGTATTGCACAGCTGCCGTTGAACCAGAGCTAATTGATAGTAGAAAAACACCAGCTGGTTCCTCAAGCCCGTCTTCGCCGCCCGTCTGAAGCGCAAGCCCTTCTTCCAGGACAACTACGACTCCTACGTAGTCAAGCTCTCGAGGCTCTATGATATCGTTCGCACGCGAGGAAACCCGGTCAAGGGTGATGCATCCGCCGGAGGAAAGCAACAGAACTTTGTGCGCCAGACGACCAAGTACTGGGTGCACCCGGATAACATCCTGGAGCTGAAGCTCATCGTCCTCAAGCACTTGCCTGTGCTCGTTTTCAACCCCAACAAAGAGTTCAACGAGGAAGACTCGGCCATCACATCCATCTACTTCGACAACACCGAGACATGGGAGCTATACCAGGGCCGTCTGAAGAAGACCGAGGGTGCTGAGGCTATACGTCTGCGTTGGTATGGAGGCATGTCGAGCGACACTATCTTCATTGAGCGTAAGACGCATCGCGAGGACTGGACTGGCGAAGAGTCTGTCAAGGCGCGTTTCAAGCTTAAGGAGAAGAACGTCAACGCATACCTCCGCGGTGAGCTCAGGCCCGAGCAGATCTTCGAGAAGGAGCGCAGGGAGCAGAAGAGGCCTGAGAAGGATATCGCTTCTGACGAGCAGCTGGCCCGAGAGATCCAGTACCGCGTACTTACCCGCAAGCTCGAGCCCGTTACACGCTCCTTCTACCACCGCACCGCTTTCCAACTTCCTGGCGATGCTCGCGTTCGTATCTCCCTCGACACGGAGCTTACCATGACCCGCGAGGACAACCTAGACGGCAAGAGGCGTGCTGGCGACAACTGGCGTCGCATGGACATTGGTGTAGACTGGCCATTCAAGCAGTTGCCTAAGGAGGACAAGGAGCTCTTCCCTTATGCTGTGCTCGAGGTCAAGCTTCAGACACAAGCTGGAGGAGAGCCACCGCAGTGGATTCGGGACCTCACGTCTTCCCATCTTGTCGAAGCTGTGCCCAAGTTCTCCAAATACATCCACGGCACAGCCACGCTGAATCCCAAGCGCATCAACTTGATCCCATACTGGTACCCGCAGATGGACGTCGACATTCGCAAGCCTGTTAGTCACAAGTTTGGCATCGAGCGCCCCGGAGCGAGCAACGACATCAGCACAAGCGGTAACCTCGATGACGATGACAGCGAAGACGAGGATGCCGTCATGGGCCTTCCTGCTGCCAACGGCAACGAGGACGATGATCGACTAAGGCGGCTGCGCGAGGCGAGGGATGTCATGGAGCAGAACGAGATGGAAAGAACCCGCGACTACGGCACTCTTACGAATGGCAACGATCCCAATGCGCTTGACATCGAAGAACGTGTCGCCGCAGGACGCACTCGCGACGAGGATTACCCCATCTACGATTCTGACAGCGACGACGAAGACGAGGAGTACGAGGCAGCCAAGAAACAGGGAGGTCTCCGCTATGCGCGGAAATGGGTAGAACGTACTGCGACCAACGTGGGCTCAACATTGCTTTCGACAGTCGCCACCGTTATCCCCAAGCCAACTCCCACCGACGTTGGTGAGGGAGGCTTCTCCCTTGGTGTACCCTCATGGAAGCAAAAGGGAGAGGTCAAGAGGTTCAAGGCACCCAAGGGCAAGCGTAAGTTCCTCCAATCATCTCACACTACCAAAACGTACTAACATGATATCAGGCATTCACGTCCCCGTCCGCGTCGAACCTAAAGTCCAACTAGCCACCGAGCGCACTTTCCTCTCCTGGCTCGAATTCTCCATCCTCATCGGCTCCATTGCCGCTACATTGCTCAACTTCGGTGACCCCCTTGCCTTTGCGGCTGCCTGGGCGTTTACCATCATTGCTTGTATTGCGCTGTGCTACAGTGCAGGCTTGTACCTGTGGAGAGTGAACAAGATCAAGGAAAGGAGAGCGGTTACGTACCACGATCGCTGGGGACCTACGCTGCTCTGCTTCGGATTGTTCTGCGCTGTAGCCGTCAGTTTCGGATACAGGTTCGGAAAGGGTGGTGTTGATGGTGGGTTGAAGGGTGATATCAAGGGTTGAGGATGTTGTGGTATCGCAATAAATACATAGCTCATGGGGTTCGACGTTTTGAAGTTGTCACGACGACGGATGGACGGTTCGAAGGTGATGGGAAAGATGGTAGTGATGCATTATTGGCGTTACGTGTACATAAAAGTGTACATAATAATGGGTATTGTTGTACTTTTGACTGGTCTTGTAAACCGTTGCACGGAGTGAGCATGGCCATCCTCAGGCTTTCACGAGTGACACCGGAAGATGTGATGGTGTGCACGTGCTGTCCCGCGGAGGGCCGAAGGGTATAAATTGCTCTCGCTCGAGGCCCTGTGTCGCTTCTCTCACACTCTTTTCACCAATTCCTTTCCAAAAACTTTACAATGGTCGACTCATGTCTTCCTCCCTGTTTTCAAAAGACTCGGGAACACAGCTCATGGCAGACCTTCCCTGCTACAGTTGCACCAAGACGACATGAGAGAGGAATCATGTCTGCCTTTGACAACTCTGTTGGCCTGGCCTAAACTAAAACAAGAGCGCACAAAGTACATGTTGTTTCCCGGCCTGAGAATGTTCATGGAATGAAAAGAAGACATCATCTGCATTCTCCAGGTTTCGTATCCCCCATTAAACATCTTTCGCTATCCACTTTCCCGCTCAGTACTTCGGCTTGAACATCAAAGTAGCCATGATCGTCCCCACCTCCGCCTGCAAACCAAATAACTTATACAACCACTTGATAATAACAAAAAAGCTCTCCGGCTCCCCCATATGCTTGAACCCCTGCACAAACCGCGCTTCCTTCGGCGCCCCATGCATCAACGCAAGATAATAGTCATCGATCGGGAAAATCTCATCGTCAGTCCCATTCACCAGCAGTAACCTCGCACACTCCTGCTTATCCAGCGTGCCATCGTTCAGCAACGAGAACTTGCTCATGGCCTCCTTTTTGAAGGTCTCGACGTCGTTGCCGTAGCCCCATTTGTAGGCCAGTGTGTTGGCAAGATCGAAGGGATACTCGAGGTGATTTACATTGTCCAGCCATTCGGGGGAGAACATGTGGTGGCAGCCGCCGCCGAGGGCGACAACGCCCGCGAGTTTAGAAGCGTGCTTGTGCGCCACGCGCATGGCGTAGTAGCCGCCTGTGCTGAAGGCCCAGATAGCGATTTTCTTTGCGTCGAGACGCGGTTGCGTGGCTACCCAGTCGAAGAGCGAGCTGTACAGACGGTCTGGAGACGTTGGGTCGGACGCCGTGGCTGGACAGTCGCCTGTGCCTGGTATCTCGAGGACGATGGTTGCGACGCCGACACGGCGCCAGCCTTCCATCCATACGGCTAGTTCGGTGCGGTACCCGTCTAGTCCGGTGAAGATGATGAGGGTGGGTACGGGGTTCTCTTGCGATGCGCTTTCAGGGACGAGGTGGTACACGGGTATGTGTTCGCCTTCGTCTTGGTTGCGGTGTTTGTGTGGGATCATGACTTCGTGGACAGGGTGTTCCCGCATTCCCAGGCCTTTGATGCATACTTCCTTGCCTAGTCTCCAGGCTTCACGTTGGACTTCGCTGCGTGGTGCTGGGAAGCGGCTGATGCGGTACACGGCGCTGGAGCGTAGGTAGTACTCTGATGCTTTCTCTTTTTCGCCATTCTTCTCGGCTTCTGCGGCTATGGACTTGAGCTTTTCGGCCTGTGGGAAGTAGATTTTGGCGTATTCGTCCCAGTTGTAGGGCTCTTTCATGTCTTTGGATACCATCTCTTTTACTATCGGCTCGAAGTCGGAGGCTGTGCCGAACATGAAGGGGTAGACGCCCATTTCTGCCTATGGAGAATCAGTTGTGAGATCTTCATGTATGTAGTCTGAGTGGCCGGTGATAAACATACAGGCTTCTTCCACTTCGTCTCCCACAGCTGCTCATAAGACTCGTGGTGCTTCGCCGGCGTCTTCAGCTTCTCCTGGATGAAGAACTTGCCCCCTGGTGCCGCCATATTTGATATAGTCTTCCTCTCGATGTAGTGTATATCTAACTTCTTAGTACGACGCAATCTGTACCCGGAGATGTAGCAACGCGTTGACGGAAGGTGGACGGTTGAGATGAAGATGCATCAGTATTCGATTCGAGTATCATATATAAGCTGCCAATCTATTCATAGGCCTCCCGCTCGGCACAAGTTCACGTACGCCGATAATGTTGCGGCAATGGTGTCGCGGTTCACGGTTCGGGCATTAAACGTTGCGGCAGGGCCCGCGGGCGGGGAGCCGAAAACTGAAACCCATTGTCCACATACAGCACGCGATCACACTGTCTTGTTATACTCAGTGATCGGCCCCGGTCTCTCATCACGAATAAAACACGCGACCATGCCTGCACTTGTCCAAGAGAGTGCCTATTATATACGAAAAGGCTCTTTCTCCTCTTGGAGTTGTCCTTCACGTCGCAAATCACCCAAAGGTATTCTCTGTATTCCGAGCAAAGCGTTCGCAGAAAGTGACTTGGTATACATCTCTGGGGTGCATCGCGAGAACACTGTCAACTCGGAATTCGAGTTTCTTCGTCCGTCCCAGAGTCATTCATGTTTTCATATTCAGTTGTCTAGATCTGACACATTCGTGAAACATGGCTCATGATCCGTATCCATTCCTATGTTTGCCAAACCACCCCATACGCCAGTAATGCTACGTTGAAACTATTTGTGTGCTGAATTGCATTAGCAAGCTTCAATTACATCGGACTAAGATGGACTTACGAATGCCCTCAGTGGGCTTGGGCGTTACATCGACGACCTCCGCTGCGGGCGTCTTGACCTCGATAATGTCCTTCATGAAGGGGAAGGTGAGCACCTCCTTGATGGAGTAGTGGTCGGTCAAGAACATGACTAGACGGTCGATGCCCATACCCCAACCACCGGTGGGTGGCAGACCGTACTCGAGCGACTGACAGAAGGTCTCGTCAATGAGCTGTGCTTCGTCGTCACCAGCCGCCTTCTGGTTCGCTTGCTCTTCCTATGTACATGTCAATATGCGTCTCCTCAATGCAAGTATCTGGAACTTACGAATCGCAGACGCTGATCGAAGGGGTCGTTAAGCTCAGTATAAGCGTTGCAGATCTCCTTCTTGCATACAAAGGCCTCGAAACGTTCGCAGAGACCAGGAATATCGCGGTGGTATTTAGCAAGTGGCGACATGACCTCGGGGTGACCGATAATGAATGTAGGGTTGATAGCAGTCTCCTCGATGAACTCACCAACCAACTTGTCAATCATTCTTGAGTTGGTGCGAGGTTCTGAGCAGTCGACCTTGACCTTCTTGAGTACATTCTTGAGGAACTCGTTGGTCTCGGCAGTGTGTAGTTGATCCGCTGGTGGGAACTTCTCGCCGGTAGCCTCCTCCAATGCCGGAATCATCTCGACTCGCCTCCATGGCCTTGCCCAGTTGACGTTGTAGACCTCGCCGCTCTGAGTGTGGTAGACGGTCTCGTATCCGCCTGTGACCTCCTTGACCAGCTCGCTGACGAGCTCCTCGGTCATGTTCAGGACGTCGTTGTAGTCGGCGTATGCCATGTAGAATTCGCAGGTGGTGAACTCGGGGTTGTGGGTAAGATCGATACCCTCGTTACGGAATTGACGGCCGATCTCGTATACCCTCTCCAGACCTCCAACTACAAGCTCCTTGAGGTATAGCTCGGGTGCGATACGCATGTAAAGCTCCATGTCGAGTTCGTTGTGGTATGTCTTGAATGGTCGCGCAGTCGCACCACCAGCAATCTTGTTCATCATAGGCGTCTGAACTTCCAGAAAGTCCCGTTCGTCGAGGTACTTGCGAACAGCCTTGATAATCCTGCTCCGAGTGATGAAGGTGTTGCGTGTTGAGTCGTTCATGATGAGATCGAGGAATCGGTTACGGTGACGTTGCTCCTGGTCCTTGTAACCACTGTACTATGTAAGTATCACCATCGCTAAAGTTTTGAGCTGAACTCACAAGTGCTCCGTCGGCAACATCCTCAAGCAGGGTGTGAGAAGGATCACCTCGCGCGCGAAGATACTTAGCTCACCCTCACCACCCTTCTTGGGGCTGGTGCGACCTGGGTATCCGATGACGCCGATGATGTCTCCTCGCTGGATGTTCTCATGCTGCTTCTCGAAGGGTACGTCTGCCTTGGCTTCCTGCAATTGACACATGACCTGGATGTTGACACCCTCAGCCTTGCCTGGATGTTATCAGCTATGAAAGTATTGTTGTATCCGATGTACGCACAAACGTAGAAGTGCAGCGCGTTGGAGGCAGAGCGCTGTGTCATGACGCGGAGACCGATGCGAATCTCCTTGTCGGGCTCAGTCTCTCCCTTCTTGAGGTGCGAGTAGTCGCGAACATAGTCGGCGAGCTTGTAGTTGGTGTGGAACTTGTGCGGGTACGGGTTGGGTTGCTTGGAGGCGCGGAGAGCGTTGATCTTATTAGACCGGATCTCGAAATATTGCTGCAGTTGGTGAGTAACCAGATCAGTTGAAAGAGGCAAGTTCGATGCGCACGTTTGGGTTCAATTCCTCGACATCGTCCTTCTTCTCCTTCTTGGGCCGCGCAGGTAGCGACGCCTCCTTCTCCTTCTTCTTCTCGTCCTTCTCGCGCTGCTTCTGGCGACGCTTCAGTTCACTCTTGGAGATTTTCTCGCCGGTGACTGGGTCGGTGTGCAAGTCCTTGGTCTCGGCAGCCGGTGGCTGTTGTGCAGCTTGTTCGTCGGCCATTGTTGCGATGTTCGGTGGTGCTCGTGTGGGCTGCGCGACGAGATATATGCCCCGCCAACTTTTTGATTTGACTCACCCCGCCATTGACTGGCAACCCACGGGAACAAAGTTTTTCCATCCGGCTATGGGGACTCATACCTCACATCACCGCTGCACTCTTCTGTGGTCATGAATGCGTTAGAAATACATACTACTGTAGACATGGTGCCCACAGCGTTGCAGGCATCGCACGTGTATCAATTCATCCTTTCACCCCGCATGCGACAAATGCTAGACAGGTTCTCGTCATTTCGATCTGAAACACGAGACAGCCATAGCAGTTGTCAACTATTCCAGATTTTCAACAAAGTTCGTGGTAGTATCTGTAATGCAACCTTGGGTCAAACTGTGTTACAAATTACAACACACGGTGTCGGGCTTTACCAACACCACAGTACTTCTTATCTGACTTACTGGAAGATGTCCGAGCAGAGCTTCGTCGTCATCAAGACTCTACCCGAAGATTCCACGATAAGGGGACAATTCACACGGTCCATGCCCGAATATAGCCCCCAAGGATCTTCTAGTGGCCGCAATATGCGCAATACGACAAAGACGCGCAGCATTGGGCATCTACGGCAGCACATCTTGCGTCACCTTAGCGACGGGATGAACAGTGGGAACAGATCATCTCCAGACCCTGTGAATCCCAAAATGCTGGCACGGGAGGACCCTGTGTTCGCCACTCTTGACAGCTGTCGATGTTGGGCTTCTACTATTCGGCCCAAGTCCAACCGATACTCTCTTCTCCGCTTTCTGACGCGCAAGCAATGTGAGTTTTCTTAGACAGACTCCTGGGTGAAACCTTGATTGCTGAATTTTTGACGTAAATTCTTACCTTGTGGCCGTCCATCCACGGTCGTGATGCTGGCCCCGAGAACCTCCTGTTGAAAAGCCAACTCATCTCCCCGCAATATCATCAAGTCTAGTGAGACGACTAGAAATAGTTACCATGGGAATCATAGACAGGGCGACAGTCCAGCAGATGTTACCACAGTGACTGAACAGGGCGACAAGCCACATGGCCTTGACAATAATCAGAGCCACGAAGTAGCGAACCTGAAACACGCGTTGAAACATCAAACTTGGGGTATCATAAGGCTGATGCCCGCTGCAGGTGCGGCTAAGGCTGGCTGCAAGACATGTCGCTGTATGCCCATAGCGCGTTTCTCCTTTGAATACCGAGCCAAACTCTGTCGATGCAATGTCGCGTCTTGCGGAACTGGTCAAGATGCAGGCTGCAGCAAATCTTGTGTTCAGGCGTGTTCAGGTTCATTCCACAGACCACTCTGTGAACTTCCTACTAGATTGAGGGCATGGGGTAATCCCGATGTCGGAAGGTAGTAACGATAGATGACTATCAATGTGGACGTAGAAGGGGGAAGCGTGCGAGAGGCTAAGGCAGGTACGGCGATGATGAAACAGGAAAACATGGCATCCAGAGCGCGTTCCTGCAGTACTGTATGTTGAACGGTAGGCTAGCGGGGATCTTTCTAGTGGAATAACAATGAGGTCGCAGATGCGGCCACATGAGGCAGATTTGCGAATTCGCGGTATTGGGAAGTTGTTTTTCACGATGACGCGATGATCTTGCCGCGTGACGGACGATGCCCACGTGCTTTTACGTCTGATCGATGAAGCAGGTACGATCCGTTACCGCACCTTCCCGGAGATTAGTGGTGAAGTAGTTGCAACCATCACGAAGCGTGGCCTCGAAGAAGGCCTCGTGAGCACGCTTCCCTCGAAGAGACTATCGAGCGGCACACGGTCCGCCTCCTAAAACCACTTACCAACAGCCCTTGTGAGGTTTTAGCGCGTATCATATCGATAGCCCATCCGCTCAGCGTTCACGGGATGGCTCTCACATCGAAAGCTGGGGGGAGATCACAAGACTACGTCATGTGTAACCAAATTCCTCGATCCCGACGCCATGGGGATGGACGGATGGCTAGGTGCAGGCCAAACATCATGAGCAAAACCCTCGATCGCGGCAAGCTGTGCGATCGGACAAAGTCGAGCCAGGGAGGGGAGTCCGGTTGTACGGCGCTGTTGACGCAAACAACGCGAAGACGCGTCTTGGGCAATACTCAGAATCAGCTGGAAGGGTCCTGATGACGACACCCATAAACTTTGCTCAGGCAGTCAGCTGAAACTGCAGGCAAAGCAATATGGACAAGCAGATGTTTCCTACGACTCGCAAAGCCTATCGATAGCTGAATAGGCGAAGATGCGTGCAATCGATAGGGAGGCTGCAGGCGAGCTGCAGAGGCAATCATAATGGGGAGGGCTAAGATTGTGACGCGGGCCGCCGAACTGGTGGCAGGCGGGCGCAAAGCTGGAGCCCCTATTCCGCGCGACTCGGCCACCCGATGGCATGAAGACGATAAGATTTGCTAATTTGGGCATAGAAGGGGGGATAGGTCGACGCGTGGTTCGAGCGCCCTGGTGCCGATACTGTGGTTGGGGAAGATGCGGTGGTGGCGAGGATTTGGTGTTGTTTTGATTCTGCTTGTTGATCAACAAACACGGCATGTAAACACGCACACCTGAACGTGGCAAGAGCTCCGCAGCAGCGCCTCACAGTGCAACAGACGTGCAGAGAGCTGGCAGCGGTGGAGCTTTACGTGTTCTAAATTTGCAGAGCCTACTCGGGTCGCCTCTATGACTGCTTCACTTTGTGCTGCAGACGTGGATTCGATTGGCAGGCAGGGCTAACGGGCTTCGCTGCAGGGCGTCACGAAGTAAGAGGCGGGTTGGGACGCACGGGCCCCGACGCCCCAACTTTCCTGCCACACGCCCGGCGAAAAGACACCCTGCACATGAGAGAACGCGTCTCTTCTCATATACCACTGCATTCCCAGCCGATCGCTATCGAGCGCAAGAAGGGTCTCTCCATCGCTCGATCGCTTGCACTCTCCCCTCGCCATTGCATCATCGCGTTGTGACGCGCCTGCCGTGTGTTGCGACTATACTTGCCTAACGTGCGGAGGTAAACACGCGACGCCTGCGCCCTCGCTTCCCCAGTACACGACACAGCAAATCACCCTCCGACACGCCGTCAACATCAACACGCTCTCTCCACCTCCAGCCATCCTTTCCCCACCAGGACCCTCCATCACCAGGCCTTGCATGGAGCACCACCGGACTTCGGCCGTTGCTTGTTGAAGGTGGAATCACGGAACCCGGCCAGCATCGAGCACTACGCCATCGCGCGCCTGCCGACGACATTCCACGCATTCATACCACGGTCCGCATCCACCACGCGCCAGCAGGACTACCGCGCCATCGCTATCGACTGAAGACTGCACTCATCTCCATGCCCTCTGCGCCTGCCTAAATCACGTCAACACGTCACGGGAGACATCGCCGCCCGCCATCTGCCCGTCTCATCCCAAAACATCCCGACTCACTCCAGACGGCTCCCACTACGCGAGCCATGGATTACGGATATTCGCCCAGTCGCGAATGTGGCACCATGCACTTTCCCTCACCAACCGGACCCCACAGCTATCGACTCGACAGCACCCACTTCTCCCACCTCCAGGAGCTCCGCCGCTCTCTGTCGCGCTCACCCTCCAAACAGTCGCGCTTCCAGCTCCGCAACTCCGACACGCCCCGCTCTCCCATCTCGCCCCTCGCCATTGCGCGCGCATTCTCTCCCAAGGCGAACAAGGTTACCAGCCCCATCGCCAACTTCCCTGAGTCACCACTAGCGCAAGCTGCACCGGCCAAGAAGAAGTTCTCCTTGCGACGCTCAGGCCCTTTCCGGTCATCGCCGCGCACGCGCAACAGCAACTCCAAGAGTCCCCGGCGACGCGCCTTGGCCGAGACCTCCGACGTGGGCAACGCGACGCCCTTCATTACGCGACACTCGCCCGGCCAAGAAAACATCCCCGCGCGACGCCCAAGCGCAGAGTCCCCGGACACCATGGACATGGACAAGCGACTAGAAGTCGACGACAAGCCCATCAAGTTCGAGTTTGCGCGCCGCCCCGAGCTGTCGCCCGCGCCACCAGCAAAGTCGAGCCCGCTCAAGCGCAATGACGGACTGATGAACCTCAGCGGTTCGCCCGGATCCAGTCCCATGGCAAAGCGCCGGAGCCTGCATGGCGTGTCGAGCCTCGGAAACGACTTCGAGAGCATATTCGACCCGTCCCCCGCACCGCGCATCTCTGCCGATGAGAGCTCGCGCTTGTACAACGACATGACGAACGGCTTCTCCTTCAACAGCTCACCTATTTCGGGTGCTACATCACCAGTCCGCCGCACAACGTCACTGCGCAGGTCGACCCTATCACAGCGATCCAACACCCCGCGGAAGCCGAGCAACGATGGCGAGTTCGCAATGCCTGGGCCGGCTGCCTCCAAGACGCGCAACCGCATGTCCCTCGACAGCACCGTCAACTCAACCACCCAAACACCGCCCGTCCAGACGCCTTTCCGCAAGTCTACCTTTGACGCCGGGCGCATGGGCTTGCCAACGCCATTCCCCCGCGGAGCCGGTGCAGCACAGCCGCACCCACTCTCACACGCGCATACACCATCTTCTGCTTCATCCAGCCTGAGCGGCACACCAATGGCTCCTCCCCGGGCTCCAGCCGTTCAATGGGGCGGCCCTGCATTCCCCCCGCCTCCGATGCCCAACAACCCACACTTCTCTCGCTCACTTCCCATCGGTATCGGGCGCCCACATGCCCCAGATGGCGAGCAGTCGACGCAAGACTCGTTCGACACGCCCTTCAAGATTGCGCCACCGGCACCTGTCGCCTTCTCGACCGGCCTTCTGTCCAAGAAGAACCGCAATGCGGATGAGCCTGCAGCAGGAGGCATCTATGTCATGCCCGACACGCCATCCAAGCGCCAGTCTTTCCCCCCTGCCGCAGCAGACCGCACTGTCAACCTTGACACACCCTTGGTCAAGAGGAGTGGCAGTCTCTTTGGCAATGAAGCTCGCCCGCAACATCAGTTCGGCACGCCTAGCACACCGTTCAGTGCAAACGTATCCAAGTTTTCAACAGAGGCTTTCGGCAGTCGACCAAGCATCTTCGGTGGTATGAGCGGTACCATGCAACGCCGAGGCAGCTTTGTGAGTATCGACGGAGATAACGATGAGGATGTCCAGCCGGACACACAATCACCGACAGCGAACCGGATGGGCGACAGTCAATCCAGCGCGGATGACATGCCACCCACACCGACCAAGCCCAGTCATGGGTCCAGCCGTCGTTCAAAGGAGAGCAGCCTGCGACGTAAGACGTTCCGCTCGCGCCCTTCCATTGGTCAAGACACATTTGCAGTACCCGACAATGATGGTCGGCCAACGAGTAAGTACACATCTCGTATAGATTCAGTGACTTTTCCGGATGAAGACAGCTCGTCAGAGGACGCTGAGTCTGAGTCAACGGTTAATAAGTCCCCCTCCGCATATGCCCTCAACGCGAATAGGAGTCGACTGCTGCGGCAAGCCAATACTTTGGCTCGCCCTCTGTCTCTTTCGCGGGGGGTTGCCCGCACATCTCTCCAGTCATCGGATAGCGAGAGCAATACTAAACATTCTACAGCAGCTGGAAGCCTCTTTGGCGCACCATCACCACAGACTCCCGCGCACGAGTCTTTCGCCCCTCTTGATGCGAGCAAGCTGTCGATCTCCGGTAACCGACGGGGATCGTTCCCTTTCAACAGCAGCTTTGGCTCCTTTGCGCCCGCCACACCGACAACGCCACGTGACTCCGGCTTCTTTGGAAGTGTCCAAGGAGCCATCCCCATCGGTCTAACAAAGAACGACGTGGATGAGTCCTTGAGTGAACGATTCCATGAGATCAAGCCTCTCGATGGCGGAGAGGGCGAATTCTCTACAGTGTACCGTGTGAGTCAGCCGGTCAAGGTCTCGCCGCTGAGGTCGCCCGCCGGCAGCCAAGTATGGGTTGTAAAGAAGTCGAAGAAGGCCTACATTGGCGCAGGAGACCGTCAGAAGAAGATGCGTGAGGTCGACATCCTCTACGCTCTCCAGGGCCACGAGCACGTGTTGGACATCAAGACCCACTGGGAATTTGACCAACACCTATACATCCAGACCGAGTATTGCGAGGGCGGTAACTTGAGGAAATACCTCGACACCGTTGGCTTTAATAGCCGTCTCGATGACTTCCGCATCTGGAAGATCCTGCTCGAACTTCTGATGGTATGTCTAATTATAGTCTTTGTTCACAACACCGCTAATCCTTTTGCAGGGTCTCAAATCCATTCACGATGCTGGCTACATCCATCTCGACCTTAAGCCTGCTAACATCCTCATCGACTTTGAGGGTGGACTGAAGATTGCCGACTTCGGTTTAGCGAGTCAGTGGCCAGCTCCAGCTGGTATTGATGGCGAAGGCGACCGCCACTACCTTGCACCCGAGCAACTCTCTGGTCGGTTCGATAAGCCTGCCGACGTCTTTGCCCTTGGCATGATGCTGGCCGAAATTGCCGGCAACTGCGTAATTCCTGAGAACGGCGACTACTGGCAAAAGCTACGATCGGGCGAGTTCGAGAACGTGCTTCCCAGTCTGACTTGGAGCGCCGACAGCAGCACACTTAGTCGGGACTCCCATGGCGACCCGGTCTCTGAGCCAGCGAGGCCTTCTATGGATGGCTTCCTCATGTCGGACGCCGCAGAAGACTCAATGGCGTCCATTACAGTCAAGCCAGCCTCTAACCCTGAGGAGGAGCTGGCCCGTGCACCTTCATTCATGGTGCAGCGCAACGACCCTAACTCGATGGACCACGTCGTCTACGCCATGCTGAACCGAGACCCCGACATGCGACCAACTGCCGAGCAAGTCCTTCAATGCTACGGTTGCCGATGGGTTGAGTCAAGACGCCGCGCTGGTGCCACCATCTACGAAGGCAATTTCGGACCCAGCGATGAAGTCCTTGCCACTTACGCCGATGAACACCAGGACGGCCTCTTCGAGGATATGATGGATATGAGCTAAGTGCTTGCTCGAGGCTACTCATCATTCACTATTGCTCTCTTGTTACTACTCCGCTCCGTTTACTCCGCACAAACACTGTCTTGGTTACGACGTGCATCTGCAGCCATTTTCCGAATGTCCTGCGATACTGTGGTACCTCGACATCATCATCATCATCAACATCACCCTTGTACACTATTCTGACGATCTGGCGTTTTGAGATCGAAAAAAGGGAAAAGCACTTCTGATGCTTCACGACTCACTCTACGACGAGTCGCCTGTTTTTTGTTTTATACTTTTCCTTTGTTTTCTCGCCACTGTTTTTATTACGAGCTTCTGAACGTTACGGCCACGATATCTTGGGGTAACAAGGTTGTCCCTTTTTCGGGCAGGTTTTGGGTTTGGCCATTATCTTGGAGTTTGTGCGTTGCATATGCATCCCCCCACGAGGATACCTTCGCAGCTGGAAAATAGCGCGAATGGGGATTGGCGTTCTTCTTCCTTGTCTTCTTCTCTTTTCGTATTGAATGACTGGTACGGCTTTACTGTATCAACGTAGGGGGTTCTGAGTGGAGTTGCGGAGGCTGGGTCTCTTGGGGCCGGTTGGGTTACGGCGGTGGGGACGGCGGACATGGAAGGGTAATGTTGAAAGAGCAATATCACTCACGACTTCATGACCCAATCATTGGGCTTTTCTTGCGACTTGTGATGTGATGTGATATGCTGAAACTGTACTGCCATTGCGTCTATTCCAGCCCATGGAGGAAGATGGAGGGTGCGAGAGGAGGCCACGTGTTTTAGTCCCTTTCGCAAGACTGGGCTTCCGTCCTTGGCTTACACTGGGTATTGGTGCTGTGTATGTATCAAGACAATTGTTCAAATACCGAACATACGACAAGGATGATCCTTACTTCCACGGGAAATACAAGGCCACCGTAATGACAGACAGACTAGCCACTGATTCCTCTCTGTAAGTGCGGTCATGTCATGCCTTGTGCATGGCGTATGAAGGGATAGCTTGTCAGGAAATTCTATTGGCATTCTTAGAAGTGCCGGTAATATAGGGCTCGCGTGCCATAGCAAACGTGGCTATGCGCGTATGCTTACGACTTTAGTATGGAAGACACACTTGGGTTGACTTGACGAGATATTCTGGTGTCCGGCGCCGAAGATAAGCTGACTATTGGGAGAGACGTGTAAGCTCCTTCTTGATAGACTTGCTTTTCAAGCACTTTTTCGGCTCTCCTCTTTGGTCTTTGGAAGTCAATTTGAAGTTGACTTATGCTGGAGTTCAATCACGCTGTTCCCTCTCATTCGCATCGGTAGAACTACGTCTTCCCTCTATAATCAGAAGCAAAGTACCTAAGTAGGGCATCGTAGTCTCGGACGGGCAAAAGCCGTGAGGGGCTTTCTTGATTCGAGTGACACGGAAAGCGTGCTTACCTCCTGGGCTAAGTGACAAAAGTGATGAGCTAGCTCTTCGACCAATGTTTGTGAGCTGACAATGACTGCCCGAAGCTTGGAATTTCAGGATCTAGAAGGCGTGGAGGCACTTGCATGTCGACAGTGCTGAATCCTACGGTCAAATCTGCACGTGAACGGCCGATCACATAGTATCCGTAGCTATTTTACCTGGGATGTATCGATAAGAAAAGGCTAAGCTTTTTGGGAGATATAGGGACATGGGCATATTGACCAGGAGTCTCCAATTCTGCGGCAACCCCATGCGGCAATGTATCTCCGCCCGTGGCCTTGGATACGAAAAGGTGAATCTAGGCTTCTGGTGCATTGTCCAAAGCACGTCGGTAACGGGTAGCGGGTCGAGTAACCCCGACCGGTCAAACTGTTGTGCCAAGAAGGCACAGCGGCTTGGTGTGCATCGGGAAGCAAGGAACATACGACAAGCGCATTCGAAGTACCGTGCGATAATTTAGCCTACAAGTTGCGCGCAACAAACTTTCGGTATTGAAGAATGATCCAATGAGCGAAAGGTTCTTCGTCAATAGTCATGATCGTGCTTCCTCTGACGCAATTGAAATCCGTTGCGCGACTCCAAGGGCGGGGTCGCGATATGCCGACACCTGGGCACCTTCCAACCCCACGGGGTCATTGCGCTTAGCCTCATCGCCGGCCTCTCTAACCCTGGGCTAATTGAACGCCATCGGCCCTCTTCCACCATGCCATGCCGCAAATGGTTTACCAGCGAGCCGCATGATGACGAAAATGCCGCTTTATGGGTTCTGCCGAGATAATCTAATATTCTCTTTGCCGGGACGAGAACGGTCAAGGGTTTATCCGGACAGCTGCTTCATATAATGGGGCACTCTCCGCGATTTGGAGATGTACAGTCGGTCAATCTCTCCTCAAGATGCCATCTACATCCGTCTTCCTGGCTGCTAGCGCAGCAGTTGGCTGTGCTTTCGCGCGGACTGTACCTGAGTCTGCACAGGTCGTTGACCAGAAGAGCTTCAATGTCTTGGAGACAGTCCCGCCACCTTCTGGAGCCAATGCGACATCGGTACGTTTTTCATCTCTACAGCCTCATGAAGCTCGACATGATCTAACAAAGACATAGCTTTTCGTTTGGCCAAGTGTGACTGCCGATTCTCTTCTAGAGAAGCCTTTCCACATTTATGACGAGGAATTCTACGACGTCATCGGCGAGAACCCTTCGTTGACCACCATCGCAACCTCAGAGTCGGACCCGCTCTTCCACGAGGCTGTTACGTGGTACCCTCCGACAGAGGAGGTGTTCTTCGTCCAGAACGCTGGTGCGAAGGCTGCGGGTACCGGACTGAACAAGTCTTCCATCATTCAAAAGATCAGTCTTTCGGATGCCGAGAAAGTTAGGAATGGATCCCTAGAGGCAGCACCTGTCACTGTCGTCGACACCGCAAACCCCCAGGTTATCAACCCTAATGGCGGTACCAACTACAAGGGCAACATCATCTTCGCCGGTGAAGGTCAAGGTGACAACGTGCCATCGGCATTGTACATGATGAACCCTCTGCCACCGTACAACACCACCAGTGAGTATCCCAATCTCACCCAGAAACAAATAGTGACACTAACCATCCTAGCTCTTGTGAACAACTACTTCGGTCGTCAGTTCAACTCGCTGAACGATTTGGTCGTCAACCCAACAAATGGCGATCTTTACTTCACCGACACACTCTACGGATACCTCCAGGATTTCCGTCCCGTACCCGCTATTAGGGAGCAGGTGTACCGATACAACTTTGACACGGGTGCGCTAACCGTTGTTGCTGATGATTTCGGCCACCCCAACGGAATCACCATGTCGCCCGATGGCAGGAAGGCGTACGTCGCCGACACTGGTATTGCAATGGGTTTCTACGGTTACAACTTCACTGCCCCCGCGTCGGTCTACTCGTTCGACGTCTGTGCGGATGGTACTTTTAGCAACCGCAAGACCTTCGCCTACCTTCCCGTTGGTATCCCTGATGGTAAGTTTCGCACGTGGACATGCAACCTTGAAAATGCAATCGCTAACGTTCCACGACAGGTGTACACACCGACTCTATGGGCCGTGTTTACACTGGTGCCGGAGATGGTGTATGGGTCTACAACCCTTCGGGCAAGCTCATTGGAAAGATCTACACGGGTACGACAGCAGCCAACTTCAAGTTTGCGGGAGAAGGACGGATGATCATTACCGGTCAGACCAAGCTATTCTACGCGACCTTGGGCGCCTCTGGAGCACCCATTCAGTGATCGACGAATCCGTCAATGTCGCTGTCTAAATTACTGAACGTATACCATAATGTGTTGTACCGCACAAATAGACAAATAATGTAATTTGAAATATCAGAGCTGCATAATGCCAGAGATTGAACACTGCCCAAGTGACAATGCTGCCCAAGAGGATTGAAAGATGCAACGTGCTAGTACCTGCGTTCGGTGTATTCTTCATCAGGTTCGCCTTCCCGAGGCCAGAGTTCGCCTGCAGGCCGCTGTTGCATGGTGGCGTTCACTAAACATCCACTAATTATCTATTGGCCCTCGGGTGTTGGAGTCCAATGCGCAGGTTCGCGAGCCCGCACGTGACCTTCAGGCCTAACATAAGGGGAAGCTAAGTCCACGAGTCCCGAGAAAAGGGCCGCCACTTTCAGTCGGCGCAACCCCGGACCCCAGGGAAAGGTAGCCTCCGGCTCCTGCACATTGCTAAACGCCACTTCGACACCAGACAAAACACGAAGCGATACAGCACTGCCTCCTCTTGGGCACCTGAGCCAGTTGGGTCTCATGATGCAACGCTGCTGGAATACAATTCACACGATTTCTAAGTGCGCAGATCTTTCACTGATCAAATGATGCAAAGACCGCATTTTGTTCGTGCCGCGTGGCTCAGCGACTGAACAGCACGCCGTCTGCTTGGCACATGGTCACAGAAACTAGAAGCTCTGAACCGCACTTCCCCCATACTGCAGGTACTTCAAACTTTAAATCACGTACGCTGCAAGCGAAGAGGTCCAAGCAGGAGGTATCAAACCGACGCGCTTTCTACATGACACCGGGAACCAAGTATTGGTATCGTCCGTTAGTAGGGGTCGAAGAAGCGCATGAAGCTTCTAGCCCTGTGTTTCCTTTTTTGTCGATCCGGAGAACCTTCCATCGACTGTGCATGGACAAGAAGAGGCACCGACGATGGTACCGAGATCATCCAGGCCTCACGTATAGTATCCGAACGCGAGATGTGAAGGGGTCAGAGGTTCATCGGCTGCTGGCCGTTGTAATACCCATGGCAATATCTTACAGATAATACGGTCCAGATCATCATACGATGCTTGATCGTAAAGCCAAGGGGCCTTTCAAGGAAAATAGAATTGGACGGGGACATGCTAGCTACGGGAAGCTGACAAGGCTACAGGAGCGAATCGCAACCTGACATCGCGTTGAGGATTAGCAGGAACGGACCGATATCTGATTGCGATTCAAGCTAGCGTGGCTTGAATCCCATTCAACTCCCACCAATGGGGGCTTTCACGCAAGCGAACATG